CACGTTTTTACCAAAAAACAAAAAAAAAGACAAAAAGACAAACAGAAAAACTTTATCTTTATTAAGTACAACATTTTTTGGTTCTAACTTAAACACACTTTGACAATAATAAAGATCACTCGTGGTCACACTAATCACTCCGATTGGTTTCGTAGTGAGAAATGTAAAAATCATGCTTTGAATTTTTAATTCCAAAAAAAAAGTTTAATATATAAACCACCTTTTTTTTAAAAAAAAAAAAAAAAAAAAAAAAAAATTACCAAATACGAAATTTATTTAAAATTCTTTCATTTCGTAGTTTGGAGTCTGTGCTTTCATAGTTTGTTCGCCTTTTGATTTTCTAATCATTTTCTTTTAGGTGGGGTACATGTCGGGCATTGGTGGGCAAATCAATCAATTTGCTTGTCATGTTGGACAAATGTTTTGAAAGTATGTTTTCGAATATTTTAAGCCTATTTGAATAGTTTTTTCTTTGTATTTGGTTGAGGAGAATTTAACTTTTATAACTTTTATAAATAGAAATTACCAACGAAGTATGTGAGAACAAAGCTACACCTTAATTTTATATACAAAATACTAATGAGCAATTTAGCAACTTACATGTTTAGATTAAATCAAATTTATCTTTCAATCGAAATAATATAAAAGAAATTTAAATAAAATGTTTATAGAACCATTTAGGATATTGTGAATTTTGTATACAATATTTTAAAGATTTTATTTCAAAATTTCAATGCAAAAAAAAATACAAAATAATTTCTCAACAAATAGGATTGTAGTGTTTGTAGAATAAAGTGAAATAAATTATTATGATAATTTTAAAATTAAATAAAATTTTCTTATTCTCTCATATTATAAGGATATTCCATGAAAGAGCATTTAATTGAAGTGTTATTACAATTTTATACACAAACACTAAAACTGTTATATCACTTGAACTTGCTTGAGGATACTTTTATGTCACAATAAAATACAAATAAATAAAAAGTATATCTAATATTAAATTATATGGCATCAGGAACAACGATGCAATTTTATTTGATTTAAAATACTATAACTTTGTTAAATTTAAATTTAATTAATTTAACTTAATGTTAGTTTCTAAATGAAAGATTCAATAAATAATTTATACATTACAAAAAAAAATATATCTAATATTAAATTAACTTTAATTTATTATATCAAGTTGCATAGTCAAACCCAACATTTAACTGAGCCAATGTAAACCAGCATTTAACTTGGTTCACATATATACAGAAAAGTGTACAACAACAGCTAAAGTGTCAACTATTAGAAAATTTTAAAAAATCTTTAATATAATACACTAAAGCCAGACATTAAAAAAGTGTTTATAAAATGAGTTCACTCTAAAAATTTTTTTGTCCTAAAATAAAATAAACAAAAATTAACACAACGAATATGAAGCCGCATGGAACTATTATGCATTGAACTAGTATCCAATATAGTTCACATATATAACATACAATTAAATAAACAACAGCCAAAGTGTCAACTTTAAGAAAAATACAAATAAAAAACCTCTTAACCATGTACTATAACATTTCTAAAACATATATAACAACACTATAATTATAATATATATATATATAAGAATATATATACAACAACTTCATTTTAAGTTTTTCCATACCAATTGCAATATCAATCTCTTCATTTTATTATAGATGCAGCTATAGTTCAATCGAATACACTTATATTCAGTTAAATAAACAACAGTCAAAGTACCAACTATTTGAAAATTACGAAAAATCCATAACATGATTGACGAAAATAATTACTATATGTATATGTAAATAGTTGGATTCGTAAAACACAGTTTTATACAATAGTATGAACAACAGATTTTAACTCAAAAACCCAAAAACAAGTATATTTCCCTGACACTAAGTTACATATTTTTTTTTAAATTCCAATTTATATTGCAATCTGTTAACATACATATAACAAAAAAAAAATAATACAAAATAAATTTTTGTTGTTGTAATTCACAACTTTTTGAAACCTCTCTAACAAAAACTGCAACCTTAAATATTAAACGGCATGGGTCCAAGTAAACGACTGAAACCGGTTAGGTTATCCATCATTTGGCCACTTCTTTTTTTAAACAGAATACATAATTTATGCAATATGACAATGTAAGATAAATTTTAATTGGTTGGTAAGAAAGGAAATCAAATCTACTGTATCAAAATCTTATTATTTAATCACTTTTCAGGTCTAGACCCTATTAATTGCGTTTTGAACATATTGATATATGAATTTAGAAAAAAATTTTGAGACGCGCATCAAATAGGACGAGAGTTAAAATAGTATAAAATCTATTATAAAGTAGAGTAAGGAGAATTAATTCGGTATCATTATATACGAAAGTCAATAATAGTTTTGGATTCTGGGATAATTTTAGGAAATAGCTAAATTATCTGATATTACTACTACTAAAATAGTAGTCGGATGCTGAGTATATATTAGAAAACAGCTTTTTGTTTTTAATTATCTTTAGCTACTTAGAAATTAAAAATGCTGAAGTAAAGTATTTCTTTAGTTATAAAACCAGCGATG